GAGATTCTTTGGGGAAAGGGCAGGCTAGCAGAGATCCTTTTAGAAAGGGCAGGCTAGCAGAGATTCTTTAGGAAAGGGCAGGCTAGCAGAGATTCTTTAGGAAAGGGCAGGCTAGCAGAGATTCTTTAGGAAAGGGCAGGCTAGCAGAGATTCTTTAGGAAAGGGCAGGCTAGCAGAGATTCTTTAGGAAAGGGCGGGGATGGAGACCATCTTCCCAAATAGATCCAAATTCAAAGGGTTCGATTTTCATCGGTTTATTGGACGATTTTGGGCGTCGGACAATTCAGTGGCCCCAATTTTCAGGCCACTCCAATAGCCGATAATGGGAAAATTTGCCTATAAAATGCTCTAGAGAATGTACTCGGGATTTTAAAAATGTCCCGCTGCTGCTTTTTGGCCTTGGCGGTCATATTCTTGGCTGTCCAAGGGCTGCCGAGACAAACAACTCAGCAACCAACAGCTGACGAGGAGGAGGAGCTGATGGCGCGGCGAGAAGAGACGGTGGGTAGAGAGAGAGAGAGAACGAGAGAGAGAGAGAGAGAGAGAGAGAGAAAGGAGAGAAAGGAGAGCGAGAGAGAGAGAGAGAGAGAGAGAGAGAGAGAGAGAGAGAGAGAGAGAGAGAGAGAGAGAGAGGAGAGCCTTTCCAACTGTGGTTTTTCTAGACGACCGTGGCGACGACGACAACGACGATGGTAAGTCGGCTTCTTATTCAGAAATCGAGTTTTAGACGACAACGACAACTACTGCCGCGACGACGAGGAGAGCTGTAAGTTGCTTTCAAGTGACTTTAAGAGTATCTTTTACAGTTTACGCCGATCACCTTTGTGCCGACAGCGGCGCGAAATAGTTCGTTTTCGCTCTCGCTCTCGCTCTCTCGCTCTCTCTATCTCAATCTCTCCCTCGCCCTCTCTCTGTCTCTCGCTCTCTTTCTCGCTCTCTCTCTGTCTCTCTCTCGACTGTCGCTCTCTCTCAACCATAACGCTGTTTAGATTGCCGCTGCAAAGATGTCACGCATCTCGATAAACCTCGTCAGCTTGCGGCTCCCGGGTCAGTTGAGCAAGCTAGCATAGTTTCTTTAGGAAAGGGCAGGCTAGCAGAGATTCTTTAGGAAAGGGCAGGCTAGCAGAGATTCTTTAGGACATGGCAGACTAGCAGAGATTCTTTTACTCTAACTTTCAGCCTGACAAATCCAGCCACCCCAGCGGCAGCCACGACGAATTGTTTCAACCCCTACAGCTTTCTGTTCGCCTGCGTTTCCTCCCAGGCCGGTGTCCGCGTCACGTCAATTTTCTACGATGTGGTGCGTCCAAGCCACCGGGCTGATACCGTAATATTTCCCCCACAGGACAACCAATTCGCCTACAACGTCACGCACTGCTCGAACGTCGACCCGAACGTCGGTAGCGAGTACCGGCTGCCCTGCGTGCGAATGGTGGATGGCCCGGATGCGTATTTCGTCAGCCCCGATGTAAGTAGAGTGCGCAAAGAATCTCTGCTAGCCTGCGCTTCCCTAAAGAATCTCTGCTAGCCTGCCCTTTCCTAAGGAATCTCTGCTAGCCTGCCCTTTCCTAAAGAATCTCTGTTAGCCTGCCCTTTCCTAAGGAATCTCTGCTAGCCTGCCCTTTCCTAAAGAATCTCTGCTAGCCTGCCCCTTCCTAAAGAATCTCTGCTAGTCTGCCCCTTCCTAAGGAATCTCTGCTAGCCTGCCCTTTCCTAAAGAATCTCTGCTAGCCTGCCCTTTCCTAAAGAATCTCTGCTAGCCTGCCCCTTCCTAAAGAATCTCTGCTAGTCTGCCCTTCCTAAAGAATCTCTGCTAGCCTGCCCTTCCTAAAGAATCTCTGCTAGCCTGCCCTTTCCTAAAGAATCTCAGCTAGCCTGCCCCTTCCTAAGGAATCTCTGCTAGCCTGCCCTTTCCTAAAGAATCTCTGCTAGCCTGCCCCTTCCTAAAGAATCTCTGCTAGTCTGCCCCTTCCTAAGGAATCTCTGCTAGCCTGCCCTTTCCTAAAGAATCTCTGCTAGCCTGCCCTTTCCTAAAGAATCTCTGCTAGTCTGCCCCTCCTAAGGGAATCTCTGCTAGCCTGCCCTTTCCTAAAGAATCTCTGCTAGCCTGCCCTTTCCTAAAGAATCTCTGCTAGCCTGCCCCTTCCTAAAGAATCTCTGCTAGTCTGCCCCTTCCTAAAGAATCTCTGCTAGCCTGCCCCTTCCTAAGGAATCTCTGCTAGCCTGCCCTTTCCTAAGGAATCCCTGCTAGCCTGCCCCTTCCTAAGGAATCTCTGCTAGCCTGCCCTTTCCTAAAGAATCTCTGCTAGCCTGCCCTTTCCTAAAGAATCTCTGCTAGCCTGCCCCTTCCTAAAGAATCTCTGCTAGCCTGTCCTTTCCTAAAGAATCTCTGCTAGCCTGCCCTTTCCTAAGGAATCTCTTCTAGCCTGCCCTTTCCTAAAGAATCTCTGCTAGCCTGCCCATCCCTAAAGAATCTCTGCTAGCTCTGCCCATCCCTAAAAGAATCTCTGCTAGCCTGCCCTTTCCTAAGGAATCTCTGCTAGCCTGCCCTTTCCTAAAGAATCTCTGCTAGCCTGCCCATCCCTAAAGAATCTCTGCTAGCCTGCCCATCCCTAAAGAATCTCTGCTAGCCTGCCCTTTCCTAAGGAATCTCTGCTAGCCTGCCCTTTCCTAAAGAATCTCTGCTAGCCTACTCTTTCCTAAGGAAGCTCTGCTAATGCCAAAATTTTCAGTACAAGCACACTGTGCTGTCCTTCGCCTGCGAGTACGTTGGCGACTCGACGTGTCCGTGAAAACTACGATTCTGAATAAAGAAGTACAAGTTTCACAACCTAGGCTTACAAGGAGACGTTTTTAGGTGGGCACGGAGTTTCGTAACGAGACCTAGCTCATTCAGGAAACTGAAAACTGAGCAAGATCCCGTTTTCCATTTCTGCGAAACGATAGCGATTGATTTTTAATAATTAAATTAAAGAATTAGCAGAAATTGGCATGATTCCCCTCGCGCGGAGCGATTTCCTTCCGAAGATCCCCTCGGTCGGAAAGCCAGGCCCCGTCTTCCCTTCCCCATAGCGATTTGGCGCAGTCGGTACGGCGTTTGCCTCTCACGAAATTTTTTTGAACTTTTTGTCAGTTCGATCCCTGAGCCCAGAATTCGTTTTGCTTTTTATTTTAGGAGGCTGAATTTATCATTTATTTTAATTTAATTATCGCAATGCGTTACATAAATGTTCTGAACAGCATCGGTGTAGGCGCAAGCGGACCAGTTGATTTCAATCCCTGAGACGCGAGTGCAACGCTACCGGTTTGGGGCAAACCACAAAAAAAAATTAATTTTGGACTAGATTCCACTTTTAGAAAGTGTTCAGGAGTTAAAAATCAAAATGAATTCTGGGCCAAGGGGTCGAACTGACAAAAAGTCCAAAAATGTCGTTGGAGGCAAACGCCCTTACCGACTGCGCCAAATCGCTATGGGAAGGAAGACGGGCCAAGGCTTCGACAGAGGGATCTTTGGAAGGAAATCGCTCCGCGCGAGGGGAATCATGCCAATTTCTGTTTTTCATTCTTTAATTTAATTATTAAAAATCAATCGCTATCGTTTCGGAGAAATGGAAAACGGGATCTTGCTCAGTTTTTCAAGCTCTTTCGAGATGAGCCAGGTCCGTTACGAAACTCCGTGCCCACCAAAAACGTCTCCCTTCTTAGGCTTGGCTGAGGCTAGGCTTGACTTAGGCTTGGCCTAGACTTGGCTTAGGATTGGCTTAGGCTTGGCTTAACGATGTTCTTAGGCCAAGCTGCTTATAAACAATTTATGTAGCGAATTCCGGACTGTTTGCGTTTCTCCGTCATGTAGTCCAGCTAGGGGCAGCCGGCGCTGTACAGGAATTGGCAGGACTGCTTGACGACGTTGTGCAGCTTCTGAAATGGGAGGTGGTGTTGGGTGTGCGGCATAGGTTTAAGTTTAGGCTTAGGCTTAGGCTTAGGCTTAGGCTTAGGCTTAGCCTGTTGCTTAGGCCTAGGCTTACATCCGGTGTTTGATAATAGGCGTCCGGGCCATACGGGCGGCCGCAAAACAGCATCTCCGCGTCGGTGAACGGTTTCTTCGAGCAGCGCGTCGTGTTGAAGACGTTGACGCCGTTCTGGGACATTGAAATGGTGATATTCTTATGTCTCTCTCTCTCTCTCTCTCTCTCTCTCTCTCTCTCTCTCTCTCTGTCTCTCTAATGTCACTCTCTCTCTGTCTCTCTCTCTGTCTCACTCTCTCGCTCTCTCTCGCTCTCTCTCTCTCTCTCTCAACCCAAATCCACCTCATCGTAGAAAGTCGAGTAGACCATAATCTGTGCTTGGCTCGACGTGCATCCGATGGCGGACGACCCAGGGTTGAAGCAGCTGCCGGTTGACTGGCGTTTTTCGCTGAAAAATTGCATATACTCGGTTCCACTAGGGTTGGAACGTGGAAAATGGGCTTTTAGGACACTTTGATGACACTAATTTTGCCAAAAACCGGCAAAATTCCGGAAATGACCTACCGAGCCGGTGCGGAGACAGAACGGCGTTTTCGGGATATTTCCACTACACTCAGACATCTGCAGGCTGGAAAAATTGGCTCACTCTCTCGCACTCTCGCTCCGTTTCTCTCGCACTCTCGCTCCGTTTCTCTCGCACTCTCGCTCACTCTCTCTTTCTCTCTGTACCTGTCTCTTTGTCTTTCTTTCTCTCCGTCTCTCGCGCGGTCTGTATCTGTCTCAAACTCTCTCGCACTCTCTCTCTCACACTCACTCTCCCTCTCTCGCTCTCTCTTTTCTCCCCTCTCTCTTTCTCTATTTCTCTCTCTCTGTACCTGTCTCTTTGTCTTTCTCTCTCTCTCCGTCTCTCGCGCGGCCTGTCTCTGTCTCGCACTCTCTCGCACTCACTCTCTCTCGCTCTCTCTCTGTCTCTCTCGCTCTCTTTCGGCTCGCTCTCTCTCTCTCTCTCTCTCTCTCTCTCTCTCTCTCTTTCTCTCTCTTTCTCTCTC